ACCAGACATAGTAATCAGCTGTAGCCATCCTTCCTCTGGGCGGTAGAAATGCAAAGTGTTTATGTGCTTTCACCATAGAATCAAAGTGGAAAGTAAGTAAGCAGAGGAGTAGCGTAATATAATTTCTGCAAAAAAAAAACAGAATTGAGGACAACATGGCTTGTTGCCTGTAATTCTTAGTGTGGATTCGGAAAGTTGGGCAAGAAATATGCAGTGGTAAAAAAAAAAATCACCAGTGGAATATCACATTCCAGCTTAAGCAAGAAAAAAGTCTGGAAGAGCAAAGTTTTATTCCTATAAATATGACTTCTCTGAGTCGTGACCCATTTTAGTAATTAAGCTGTGATCTCTCCATTAATTTAGGACAACTGCCCAAGAGTGTACAACCCCTCCCAGGATGATGCAGACAGGGATGAAGTTGGTGATAACTGTGACAACTGTGTATATGTAGCCAACACTGACCAAACAGACACTGACAACAACGGAGAGGGTGATGCCTGCGCTGTTGACATTGATGGTGATGGTAAGTTATTTCTCCATATTCTTGCTTTAATCTTGAAACAAAAAAAGCATTCAGTTTCTGAAGGCTAAAAATTAAATCAAAATTGCTCAACAGGCATCCTGAATGAGAATGACAACTGCCCATATGTCTACAACGTGGACCAGAGAGATACCGACAGGGACGGCGTTGGAGATCACTGCGATAACTGCCCTCTGGAGCACAATCCTGATCAGGTAACATCATCTTTCACTTCTACTTCACTGCTGTGGGGACTTACAAGGTTAAATCACATCTGCTTTAATCAAGAGAGGAATGTGACAGCTCTAAAGAGAACGAGCACAGTGCTCCCTCTTCTCTTTTCTCTTCCTTTGTCTGGAGGGACATTGCTTGCATACCTGAAAACAAGGGTCTCCTTTTTAAAATTGCAACCAGGGCAGCACCTCTCATACTGAGGCCGATGAAAAACAGAGGAGGGAATTATGTGAAGCGAGTGCGAGGGTCTCATCAAAAAGGAATTTTGCTCTTTTGCAGATCGACTCTGACTCGGATCGCGTGGGAGACAAGTGCGACAGCAACCAGGACATTGACGAGGACGGTCACCAGAACAACTTGGATAACTGCCCCTACATTCCGAATGCGAACCAGGCAGACCACGACAAGGATGGCAAGGGTGATGCCTGCGACCACGATGATGACAATGACGGCATTCCAGATGACAAAGACAACTGCAGACTGGCCTTTAACCCTGATCAGCTGGACTCTGATGGTAAGTCCATCTCTCGGTTAACAGTCCTGTAAAACGCTGGTGCCTTGATTTTCTAAATCTTTGTTGTAGAGCATTTTTTTTGATTTCCAATGTATTTACTTTCCTCTCAGGTGATGGACGTGGTGATGTGTGCAAAGATGATTTTGATCAAGATAATGTTTTGGACATCTATGATGTATGCCCGGAAAACTTTGCCATCAGTGAAACCGACTTCCGCAGATTCCAGATGGTTCCTCTGGACCCCAAAGGTACCTCCCAGATCGACCCCAACTGGGTTGTCCGGCATCAGGGCAAGGAGCTGGTCCAGACTGTCAACTGCGACCCTGGCATTGCTGTCGGTATGTAATATACGGACAGACGTTTTTTCTGCAATGAACACAAACTGGTAGCAAATTGATACTAACCCATCTTTTTTTAAAATTCAGGTTATGATGAGTTCAGCGCGGTGGACTTCAGTGGAACATTCTTCATCAACACGGACAGAGACGATGACTACGCTGGTTTCGTGTTTGGCTACCAATCCAGCTCGCGCTTCTACACAGTGATGTGGAAACAGATCACCCAGACGTACTGGTCCAACACACCCACAAGAGCTCAGGGCTACTCCGGCTTGTCAATCAAAGTGGTCAACTCCACCACAGGGCCCGGTGAGCACCTGAGGAACGCCCTGTGGCACACCGGAGACACCCCAGGACAGGTGAGCACAGCTGAACTGACTCAGAGTTTGAGGCGTAATTGAGGAAAACGTTTGAGACTTTTCTCATTGTAACTTTTGCTAATTGTAACTTTTAGGTGCGCACTTTGTGGCACGACCGCAAGAATATTGGCTGGAAAGACTTCACTGCCTACAGATGGCATCTGACCCACAGACCCAAGACTGGACTTATCAGGTGAGACCAAAACCCCAGAAGAAGAAGAAAAAAAGCTCTTTCATTCAGTTGCATAGTTTAAAACTTCTCCACTGCTCCACTGACTGTATTTTATTTTGTAGAGTGGTCATGTATGAAGGCAAGAGAATCATGGCTGACTCCGGAAACATCTACGACAAAACCTACGCCGGTGGGCGGCTAGGCTTGTATGTCTTCTCTCAGGAGATGGTTTACTTCTCAGACCTCAAATACGAATGCAGAGGTAAGTACACATTTGAAGGTTAGATGCATTTGAAACCACTTACCTGAAACTTTATTCCTAACATCTTTCTATCTGCGACTCCTTTCAGATACATAATCGGAGCACAGAGGCTTTTAGAAGAATGTATCAGTGTGAAACGAGACCTGGATCGACTTATTTAACTCCCTTCCTTTGAGAAATACGCGTTGGAAGTATGAAGAGCAAGCGAGCTAACGTGAGGTGACCTCAGGAGTCTAAGCCAAATGAAAGTAAATTCTGCACCACAGCACCAAACTCAAATTTTGAGCACGGCTCTGCTCAGAAGACGATTGGCTCTCTCACTCTGTTTGCTCTGATCTGCGTTGAAAGAGGGCCACATTTTTCTTGCTTTGCACACCTGAACTGTTGTCGGTATTCCTCTGTGGATGAGGGACCAAAGGGAAGAGTGTTTCTGTTCGTTTTTGTTTTTTTAAGAAAAGATATTTTTGTGTATTAATATGCATCTGCTGTGGACTCAGATATACTTGTTTCAGTATGAAGAAAACAGTAGGAGAACTTTGTTAAGTTTGGAGGGTGAGATTACCCTTTGAAGGAACTCTTGAGGGACAATGGACAGTATGGACTGACTGTTACTATCAAAGAGAGTGAATGCTATGTGTGTTTGTGCATTTGTTCCACCTGATGAGCGCAATTATTGAGATAACCGAGTCGAAATTTGATTTTAATTCCCTGTGACAGCCCCCTTTTTAAAGGCACGTGCGTGTATCCAAGGCGCAGGGCTGGCCCGAAATATTCGTTTTCTCAGGAAAAGAGCACTAGAAGAAACAAGGAGAGCACAATATTAAGGACAGCACAGGGCCCCAAGGCAGGCACGCTGCTTTGGAACAGTAATTATGAGCAAATATAACGTGGATAACTAATATGTGAGGGGCCAGTCTGTTTCCTAAGATTATTGTAAGTGTAACTGTTTATAGCTTTAATTGTTGCTCATTTTTCCACCTTTAAATGTCAGCAGCAACCCGTGAAATCGGGATCCTCTAAAGATTAAGAGTTATTAACCTCGGACCAAAACCACAAAACAAAAAACATCAACAACACCATCTCTAAATATTCCACTTCTGCAGTGTGCGTGGCTGGTGTGCCTGAGCTTGTGTGTACAATTTCTGACAATGGAAAACAAAAAGGAAACCCTTTATGTACAAATATTACCTCATTAGTTCTTTTTGTGCTGAGACCAGCAATACACGAGAATCCCTTGTCTTATCAACAGAGTATAAATTGGTTGGCTTCTATTTTTTCTCTTTTTTTCTTTAAAGCAAGACTTTTACTATCATTTATATGCTGTATATAAGATATTTTTGTAGCAAAAGAAGCCCAAACGGGAACGTAAAGGATTAAAGAAATGTTGCCTTGACTGTGTTTTGCGATATGTATTTGTGGCGTCTTGATAAATTATTCTGTTTGTTTTATGTTGAGGGTATTTCATTTTGTGTAGATGTATGCTATTTAAATAATTTATCTAGAAGCGTAGCCTCATATGGAAGCGTTTCTGTCTGTATAAACTTATTTGCACACTGACACGAGGATGTCTTTGTCATTTTGGTTTTTGTATGTCTTTTTTTTAATATTAGTGAAGCTTTTCTATAAACATTTGTCCCATAGTTTTTACCCAAAGTGCTGTTTTTTACTCCTACTTGTTATTTTACTATGTAAAGTGAACATTAAACTCTCTAGAAAAAAATTCCAAAGGTTCTTGGTGTCTTTTTGGGAAAACAAACAGTTAAATACTTGATAACCCAAGCGTCTGTCGCTGTGATTTTTGACATTCATATCTAATTCAACTAAGGTCTTCTTAGAAAAGCAAAGAGAGCCAAGTCACGCTGTGTCAAACAACTGGAATCCATTAGCTGGGTCTTGTGAATCCTCTGAGAAAGGGAGTATCCTTGGGAGTCAACAGCAGCAAAACTCAACATGAAATATAACCTTGTTAAGCAGCACATCGACACAGATATGGCCACACATCGCATTGCTTCACTACCACTGGACAGGTAGACATAAGGAATTTAGCCCTGCAGAGTAATAAAGGTGCTAACTTTAAGGAATATGGAGCTAAGTTATGGCTGTGTGCCACTTTTGCAATGAAATTCCATACTTTTCATAAAAAACATCTAAATATAACCTGTCAAAAGTCAAGATGACTTCCTATCCACAGACCAGCTCTATAGCTTGCTAGCTGCTGTGCTGTAAGACACCGCAGCAGTATATAACTGCAAACTGAAATATGACTGCTAATTTAAATCTTTCTTGGGGTCAGAAAGAGCTGGAATGTGCGCCAGTGAGGGTCCCGCCAGAAAACCCAGACTTTCTCAGTGTGCCGCAGGTCTCTTTACATTAGCACTGACCTCATTCTTGCCATAATGAGCTCAGTGTTTTTCCATTACCCTAAATGAGCAGTTTATCTTACTCTTCTGAAAATATACTGTTTCAGTTACGCACACATTATTTGTGTACAGGAGACAAATACGCTACATATGCTGTGATTAATGACATGAGTTGCACATGTATGACAAATAAAAGTTTAAAATAGACAGTTTTAATCTAGTCCCATCAGTTAGAAAAGAAAACAGTGACGCAGAGTTCACCGTGTTTGGAAAGTGTCCTTGGAGGTTCACCTGGCTGATTCCAGTGTAGAGGAATGTGAGATAATTCCTGCCGTTTAGACGAGGTCAGAATGCGGGGGTAAGGTGAAGAGTGAGATGAACAGGCCTATAGGTGTCCAGTGCAAGGGGAGTAAAAAGGCAGGGCCTCTGGGCTGAGGTTGAACCGGGTGTGGATTAGCTCCTAAGATTTTGCATGCACGGAGCAAAAAAGGAACAACGTCAAGGGCTTCCAGAGGTCTCTCAAACAAACCAAAACTCGTCATTCTTAAAGCTGCCAATCTTTTGTCAGGGTGAACCACTTATGTAAATGACAACTGAGCTCGAAAGAGGTCACACAGGGTCCCATTTCAGAGGATCTCGCTAACCCATCCGCTCTGGAGGAGATCACCTACAGAGCCAGGAATGAGCGGAATGCTTGGAGCTGAGCTACAGCCGACTATCACCACCGTAGAGCACACATCCTCCCTTCTCATTAGCAGCAACGCTGGATGTCTGACCACACATTACTAACACAGACGTTCTATATTTTGTCGGAAAAAGCTTTAATGCACGGCAGCGCTCAGAGTTCACCCCCACAGACACGCTGCTATAAGCTGATGTTTATGTGTGCATTAGAACATTCTGCGGCTACAGCACCCGGTTATTAGATTTAATGACAGCAATTTTCTGTTCTGATCTATGATACTTTGGTTAATAGAAAGCATGGCCCTGCTGCTCTGTTTCCTCATGCAGACATATAAACACAAATAGAAGCAGTGTTATAATCGAGCTACATGTTCAAAACATGCAGACCAATTAGGATTAAAAAAACCCAAACAAAAAAAACAAAACAGTTCCCATCCTAAAGTAACCAAATTTGATGACTATAATTTTTCCACTTTTAACACATTGAATATAAAATATCCATCAGTTTATGCTGCTATACACTGATCAGCTGCAATATTAAAACAATGGACAGGAGATGTGGATATCATTGAAGACTTCATTACAAGACAACATTTAAAATCTCTGGATTTTCCATGAAAGGTATCCCACTTTTCGTGGAAACTTGCACTGATGGTCGGCACCACCTTGCGCCAGCAGGACAGTGCACCCTGCAACAATGCAAAACAATGCTCGAGAACACATCAAGGAATATGACCAAGAGCCCAAGGCATTGACCCGATCTTCAAACTCCCTGCACTTAATCCCATCAAGCATCCATGTGTTCTGCTGCAACAAGCCCAAACCTTAGAAGTATCATTTCAAGACACCCCAGAAGCCCAGCGTCCTCATCCTCACAGGCCAGGGATGTCTTAATATCACAAACAAGCGCACACGACTTCCCCTAGGTAGCTTTAATTTTGTAAGTCTATAAATGAAGAGACTGTTCTATCATCAGAGATCTAATGCCAAAGTCTAACCACATAAAATCATTAATAAGTCCCAGAAATGATCCCGTCTGGTAGCAGTCAAATCATTTTTTCAGGTCTTTATGTTGAGTCATTCATTTCAAGGTCCTGGCTCGAACTTTTTGCCAGCTCACATCCATCCATCAGGCAAAGTAACTGTTCGTCCGTCAGGTCCGGAGACTCATTCTGCAAAAAAAAAAAAAAAACCCACCAACTGATGTAAGATTTCAGTGATGCTTGTGTGAATTTAGAGTTTCAAAATCAATTAAACAGACACAACAATATGTGTGTATTTGCAGATTCGTTCCACATGCAGGCCTACGGTGCGGATGTGTAGATATGTAACTGTTTCCAGGTCACGTCTGCCGAATATTATAAAAAGTGACCAACTGCTGACATCATTCCTGCATTTCTTCCAAACAAATTTTACTGGGTCTAAAGCTTAGTTTCTGACAAGTCCAGACAAAGTGCTGTATTAATACATGACCTCACACAACAGTGGCACTTCATAATAATGTACTGCACCGCTCTGCTTTGTTGGAAGGTGTGTGGGAAAAACACTTCCACTTGGATGCTAGTTTTGTTTTTCTACGCATAAGCCAGACTCCTCACAGGCAGCCTGGGACAGCGAGTGAGTTCAAGGATGAAAGAAAACTAGGTTATGAGGAAAAGGGCTTGAAAGTTAAATAAACATCAAAATCTATTCCTGGGAATGACGCGTCATTTGGCGCTATATGCAAAGTCTGAATTCCTGGCGACCGTAACTAATTTACCTACGCACGTGTGCTCATAGACAAGCGCAAGTTCACGGTGTAAGGACTCTGCACTTTGTTTAAACAGCTGCAACTCAACAGTCAATTTGTTCCAATATTATCGACTCATTACCTTCCGTGACACGAGCACCGTGCCAAGAAAGTGTCAAGAAGAGACAACGTCAAATCTCTGAGTTGAACAGAAATCGCTGTCATCATTCTCTCTGCGCTCGTGTTTTTAGCTGTCAGCCCTAAGTGAAATGAATGTCCCTGGCCTTGAAGTAAGGATGCGATCCAGATATTCTGTCCCTAATCTCAATCACAGTCTTTAGTTAGTATTAACTGATCTTTCCCCCTCCTACTTTTGATCAGCAAAACAATACAACACTGACATTTTAGGGAGTAAGTGAACATGTTGTCCTCAAAGTTAGTGTGCTAGAAGCAGAAAAATGGGCAAGTGTGAGGATTTGAATGACTTTAACATGGACTAAATTGTGATGGTTAGACGGCATCTCCAAAACTGCAGCTCTTTGTAGGGTGGTCCGAGGAAGGAACCGTAGTGTCATGGGTGGCCAAGGCTCACTGATGAAGGCATAAGGTGCTCACATTGCCAAAAATGTAATACAGGCTCTGATAGAAAGAGTCCCAGACACATTACGACTGCCAAAACCCCCAATGCTTTGGACAAAGTCCATCTAGATGTTACTTTAACACGGACTACCTACCTAAGCAGACCATGTACACACTTTCATGGAAACCCTGATAGCTGTGGCCTCTTTCAGCAGGATCATACACCCTGCCACAGGGTGCACAACAATGAGTCTATGGTGTTGATTTGGCCTCCAAATTCCCCAAATCTCAATCCAATTGAGCATCCGTGTGATGGGCTGGTATAAGAAGCGCAATCAATGGAGACCCCACCTTGCAACTTACAGGACTTAAAGTGCTAACATCTTGGTGCCAGATACCACAGCACACCTTCAGGGGTCTAGTGCAGTCCATGCCTCGACAGGTCAGGGCTGTTTTGGCAGCAAAAGGGGGACAAGCACAACATTATACAGGTGGTCATAATGCCTGACTGACGTCCAAAACAATAGATTTTAGAAACCAAAAGCAACAACAGTGACCTAAGAAGATATTAAGCAATGCAATTCTTTTCACCTCTTCCTCACACCGCACAGAGTAATTCCCGTGTCTCATCTACCCCCTTTAGCTAGTACCATTCACCGGTCATATGCTGACCTGACCACCCACTGAAACGCTCCACCCCATTGTCAGTGGGCTGACAAGACATTACCACACAATCCCGTCCATGTTCAAAGTCCTCCAGAATGTAATCATACCCTTTAGGTCATTGCAGGTTGGGTGGTGTTATTCATCTTTACCCTCACAATTATCCAGACATGTCATCATTTACCAATAGACAGGAGCACACAGGCACCACAGACACAAACGCCCCACAGTGCCCCCCTGGAGCGGTTCATTATCTTGACCCTTCAACATTCATGTAGCTGTGGACTTGACCTCTGCTTCTACATGGCACAAATGAAACAATAAAAGAGCAAGTTCGAAAAAAACAAACAAACAAAAAACGTAAATAAATATAGAGTATGCACAAAATATAGAGTTTAAATAAATGTCTATCCATTCTACAGCCGCTTAGCTATTCTTTATATATATTCTTATGTAACAACTGACACCTCGGCCACAGAAAAAGTTTGTTAAGGAAAGGAGACGTACATTTTTCTGAACGTAAGTGAGTAATTCCTGCAACTTGAGACAAATGGCAGAAGAAAAAAATTACAAGTCAATTAGAGGCTTGTCATTATTTTCTGTGTACATGAATGGGGCAATAAAAAGTGCCCCACTGGCTGGAGTCTTAATGGTCTGAAATGCCTCTAACTGATACCAGCCGTCTTGGAGATGGGAACAGGTTAGACTTTCCAACAGAGAGGAGAGGAAAGGAAAGAAGGAAGAAAGAATGTTCTTTCTACTGCTTTGACAAAATGCTACAACTCTTTAAAAGTGGTTGACCTCCGATGACCTCGGTACTTGAGGAGGCCAGGGGTGTCTGTGGGTGACTGATATGTGCTTTCGTGCTGCTACACAGCCATTTAAGGTCCTTCACACGGGTGTTCACTGTTCGTAGACTTAAATTACACCTTTCTTGGCTGCTAATTCAAAGCACATTGTGCGCTGTCGGTCCTGCGTGCTGCACAACAACATTGAATATTTAGTATTTACTGCTGTTTACACTTAGCTCGATTAATGTGATGGTGTTGTGTTTAGTATGTTGCTTTGGTTTTTTTTTTTGCTTGTTTTCTCTTCTTTTTCTCTCAACAGCTGATCCAGGAGATTCTCCCCCCTCCCCCTTTCTTACTGTCCCTCTCCCCTTCTGTTTTTCTTTTCTTTCCTCTTTCTCTCTCCCTTTCCTATCCCTCACTCATGTCTGTCCCGTCTGTAACATCTGAAAATAAAATAAAATAAATAATAAAAACAAAGGTCGATCAAATGGACCAATACGGCAATGCCACAATGATCCATTTGGCAAAATAAATCCATTGGCTATCCTTGTTGGTCTTCAGACAACAATTCTGACGGCTAATGAACCAAATGGGACAGGCAAAAAAAAAAAAAAGGTCCTTCATTTCTTCTTGGTGGAAGGTTTCGGTTTCCTAGCAGCAGGGAACACATGAATTTTGGTAAACAGCACAGAAAACTGCTGGGATTACAGGAAAGCTTTCCAAAGAAAATGTTTGATAAAATTGATTAAGGTGCTTCCAGGGAGCATCTCCTTGTTCCACTGGGTTATCAGTGAGACAGGAACAACAATGCTGGGCTTACATGACAGCTCATGAACGCAGAATTCACTATCAGAGCGATTCTGAAGGGAAGTGAATGAGTAAGCAGGAATAGATAAAAACTTTGTTTCTGGGTGGCTTTGGGTCGCGTACATACAAGCATCTCACATACGCAATCTACAGTGAAGAGAAGAGCTGTGTATGCTGCAAAGCCTTAAGCTGGCAATCCCAACCATGATTCTCTGTAATAAACATGTGAAATCCAAGGTGGAAGTGGAAAATCTTGAGTTTGTCAAGTTACAGGCCTTTGACAGTTTCTGTTTTATTGTCACCGGGGTCATTAAATAGTTTTTATTTTAAAGTGAATCCAGTTCTTCCACCAGCAAACAATGGCAAGGCGAGTGAACTTCTTGACCTGAAAGATCAGAACTCTCCGCCACTCTCAGAGCATGATCAGCTTTCCACAGGGAGATAAATCTGGCAAAGACAGAGATGTGGAGCCCTCCAGCTACATTCTGCAGAGGACTACCACCTCTACCACAGCTCATCCTGCGCTTCGTACACACAGGATGCAAGACCAGGTTTGAGCACAAGTGTGGGCCGCTCAGCTTTCAGGGTCACCGACTTCAGTTGCATACCTGAGCTCTATAGTCCACAGACCCAGACGTTACTCCTCCGGGAGAAAGAAGAACTTAGAATGAATGGGAGTGCAATAACTTAATTATTGCACTCCCATTCTGCTATACAGTAGCATAGCACCAACATTATATGTCATGTCAAATAGCAGATAATATATATTTTAACATTTTTTTTAAATGCATAGTAACTCTCCTAAATACCCAAAGAGCCTCTGCTTCAACTCTAACAGCTATATCAACATAAAATAGTCTTTGGTTTTAACTCTAAGAGCCATGTGTCAATTGTTTTGTTCATCCTAGTCTCCTTTGCAGAGCCTGAACAGAAGCAGAAGAGGTTGCAGCAGCAAAAGGTTCAAATCTGACAGATTTAAAGTTGAGAGCTTTGGATTGCATGCTTAACAATGACACTGTGTAATTGGGAAAAAAAGACTCTGGCTTTTCTTTACTGTATACTTCCATAGTTTGAATCACAGGTTAAAGTGCAGCGGTCAGGAGTGCTGACTGCCTGAGACGGCTAACGCTAGCTAGACAATGTTCCTATGTTTAATGTGGGACAAACATCTCTGTGCACATGAGAGCTGCTGCTAAAAGTATCTTTCAGTTTCTGAGCTTGCTAACATATTACATATCCTCCCAAATGACACATGTTGTAAAAGTTCAAAATTACTTAATCACCAATCATAACTTCAATATTTAGGAGGCTAGGCAGGCTCAGACGTGCCCCGTGTCATTAAACCTATATTGCATCCATATTTCAAACAGCGTCTGCCATGGTCTGTCCCGAGGCTTGAAGCTTAGGAGCTGTTTCCGCAAATATATCCAAAAGCGGTGTCACCTCCTAAATTTGAATTTGTATATTTGAAGTTGAGTTATAGAGCATGTACAGGAGATAGGAGAGATCATAGTGACACTGAAAAACCTGAGACCAGTGGGGAAGAGACTTTTCTCAAATTGAGCCCTTTCCAAAGATCATACGGTGACAAAGCAGAGCCGATGAGGGAGATAAGCTAGCAGCTAACAGCCATCAGCTGTGGATGCAGTGAAGCGAGGAAAGTGGTGAAGCATGCATAGAGACAGATAATTGATTTTGAGATTCAGATCCAGATAAGTCAATTTATAAAAATTTTTTTAACCTAGACTGCTGTTCCGATAAATGCTAGAAATAATGAGGTAATAACAAACTGCTGTAAGTGAGGAAGTATGACTGATAGTGTTGGCCTGATTAAAACAAGACCGTTGGGCTGGAACTATCCTGTTTTACAGTAAATGCTGAGATTGTCCTTCCTTTTGCTGTAGATTTAGGAAGGCAGCCAAAACAGGCTGCAGGAAAACGAGCACCAGATCAACTGTCGAGCATCACACAGTTTCTTCAGAAAAATAGGCTTGTTAACCTCGTCAAACCTGCTATTTTAAGATATCTTTGTTTTACCGTATTTCAAGCATGTTTAAATAAATAGCTACGAAAAACCTAATACTTCACCTTCCTAACTTCTCCTTTAATCACACACTTGAATTTGGTCAAACTCAATAACAGGAATGTCACGGTCTGCGGAGGCAGACCGTGCGGAAATGTGTGTGGTGGACCCAGGAGCGAACACAAGCGAGGATGCAGGAGTGGAGTTAAACAAAAGCGAGCCTTTTATTCTGGCTGATGAAAGGAACAAAACAGAGTGAGGGCAGCATAAGAGTAATAGTTAAACAGAAACCTAAACTGGACATAAACTAAGGAAAAGCTATGGCTGGAGATACGGAAACACAGACGACGCGACACAGACTACATGAAACACAGAGACTAAATACACAAGAGGGATGATCAGGGGAAGTGGCCACACATGGGAACACAGCTGACACATATAAACATAACAAGACAAGGCAGGAGTAAACAACACTGACGGGAGACTGTCAAAGTAAAACAGGAAGTACACAGAGGTGCAAACAGGAGGAGAGAGAGAGCACGGGCATAGTGTGCTGGGGAAACATGGAATGAAACACAAGGAGGGGAGATGAGGGCTCACAGATACATAGAGGGGCACACAGGGGATAAAAGTCACAAGGGGAAGTCAAATAAGGAACAACATAACAGGACAACTCAGGAAACATGACCTAAATAAGGAACGAAATACAAAAATACAAGAAACTAAGAATACTGGGCCCACATGGCCCAGGACCATGACAAGGAATTTTTTTTAAAAGTGCTCTTAAGCAGTGGTTCACCAGACTCTCTGAAGTTTTTCTTTTCTTCTCTCATTTTCAGTCCAGTCCTTGTACCATTTTACTTTTTTTACATACATGTTTTTTAAGCCACTTAACACTGACATATGAATCACTCAAGCATAAAAAAGGCACTCGACCCAAGGGATGAACCACTGTTGTGTTTACACATAACAGAGAAACCCATTTGTATCTTTAGGCACTTTGTTACTAGCAACCTGTTGCAAAAGCATATTATTTGTTCTCCTTTCCTTAGTCGAGTCTATGAAAAATGCCAAAGATAACACAGTTCGACAGGCATAAAATAATATTTTTGCACCAACAAGGTAAGAAGCGTAGTGGTTGCCTCACAGCAAGAAGGTCAAAGCCTTTCTGTTTGGATTGCATGCTCTCCCCGTGTCTGTGTGGGCTCTCCCCAGGTTAGAGGAAGAGGTTAGTTGAGGTTAGAGGGTTTAGGTTAACTGGTGATTCCTTTGCTATAAATGTAAATGGTTGTCTGTTTCTGTGCTGGCCCTGTGAGAAATTGGCCACCTGTCCAGGATGTATGGCTGCTGGTTTAGACTCCAGTCTCACCCACAACCCTGAATTGGATAAGCAGAAGAAAACAGATGGATGTATGGATGGATAAATTTCTTCTTATCACACTTTTAATCCAATAGAAAACTACACAGAAACACTGCATAGCTAGCAGACAGTCGGTGTAACTGGAAATACAGCCTTTGGTTCTATGGCTTCAGAATCAGAATCAGAATCAGAATGGGTTTATTGCCAGATGTTGAGGTTTACAACATTAGGAAATTGCTGCGGTGCTTCAGTGCAGACAATAAGAATTAAAGTGCTATGTAGAAAGAAAGATATGTGCATGAGATATACATGAGATATATACATGAGAATAAGAATTATGAGTGCTACGTAGAAAGATATATACATGAGTATACACACAGATCTATTGAAATCATTACAGTGCTCAAGTGAATATTTGTCCCGAAGGCATTCACGGCATTCTGTCTTCACAAGAATGGGATCTTGGGATATATGCATAACATTATCCCTCTGGGGACGGCTGTCACCCAACGTGGAGGCCCAAAAGTCTTGTGAGAGTCTCTGAGTTATGTATGTTATACAAATCAACTTTATGAGTATACTGCAGCTGTGTGAGACTGGTTAAGTATGCCCTCCCAGACAAAATCTGTACAAATAAATCTTTTTCCAGCCACAAAACAAGGCCCGTGGCACTAAAAATATATACACCGTGAGGCTGCTGTTTACATTGAAGTCACTCGCTGGGTTCACTCATTTAGTCACACTATATAAAAATGCAGTGACACATGGTCAAACGCAAAGAGTGTGTTGCAGCACCAGTAGTTAAGGGACTGGTGGGTTTGATGTTTTGGAATCACGATGAAAGAACGGTTTTCCTCGAATGGAGCTCGGCTTAATTAGCAACAAAATTCCACTTGTCTCTCCTTAATTAGGCCAGGAATAGGCCTCAGTTGCATGGCGTGATGCCGTGTGATGTAAGGGTGTGGCTGCCGCTCGGTGGTTTTATTACCTCACTATTTGTCAGAGAAATGCCCATCTTTTATGTTTGAATTAGGCATACTGAATATACATCACGCTGTGATTCATCAGTGTGAGAACTGATGAAAAGAATTCCATAAACAGCAGCAGGAGCTTCCCTTTTAACACCAACAAAGTCTAACAAATAAATGTATTAACCCTGATGTTTTCCTTTTATCTAACAGAAAATTTAAAGTCATAAGAGCCAGAGAGAGCAGAAATCAGGCCCGTCCACCTTTGTTCTTGGAACATTCTTGCATTGTGCCTTTAGTGACAGTCCTCTGGTTGTAACTCTGCAGACTCCTAAGATCAGACGGTGCTCAATGGTTTCTAGGGAACACTGTGGAGCGAAGACACTGAATCTTGGCAAAGATCGCGAGAAAGCAATTAAACGTGGAGGAGGACAAAAAGGCTATCAGTGGAGAAAATGACCATCCTGGCCTTCTGATCAAAACCATGCATCAAGAGAAGCAGAGGGCGAACTTTAGCTCATCGGTATAAACCAGACATGAGACTGTAAACTGAAAAGAGAGAGAAGTGAAATGAGGGAAAAAGAGGAAAAATTATGGGTCTGCAGAGACACGAATGTTGCATGTGATTTCATCTTCTCACTCTAAGAATGACAGAGAATGAGCTGTATGCTTGTAATAATTTGTTACACACGTGTCTACAGATGAGCGCTGTGGAGCATTATAATGCACACAACACAGTCATATTGTGTGTATGCAAGTATTTGGGTGCGCATGAGCATGTGTTTTCTCGTGAGTGTGTAGCTGCTTTGAACTCACAGTCATCTCTTGGCTTTGACCCAGGAGCTCCAGCTGCCGTTGGATCTCTTGGAGCCGCCTCTCCTGCCCTCTCCTCTCCTTTATATCCTGCAGGACCTTCTCTCCTGGCTGCGGGTCCCCATCGCACTTCCAACTAACCTCCGAGCCAAGGCCCTGATACACAACAGACACGAGAGGTTCTCACGGGGGGAAGAAACACCTCATCTCCCGTGGGTGCTCTCCTAGAGTTGTGCTCGTGGCTTCTGGCTGTCACTTGGAAGCATTTAAATGGTGATAAAAGCACATAGCAGTTCACCACAATTAATTCCTGTGAAAGCTTTCCATACTCCTACAGACGAGGAGTAAAACCCGGAACTCATTACAAAGACCTGAAAAAGTCCAAACAGGGGTCAAACATAAATCACCCGTTTGTGGCATCCACGTGCACTGACACATGAACCCCACTCTCATCCAAAACAAACCCTGAAAATGGGTCAGGAGGAAATAGGAGTCACGCTTGGAGGATTATCAACAGATAGCTGATAAGTGGGAGGTCTGTCTTTCCCGACCAAAGCGTGCGCCATTCTCTTTGTATCGTGCACAGAGACCGAAAGAGAGCCTCTTTAAAGCCACTGAATATATGTCAGATTCTTTGTAAATCATAAGTCTGTCATCCTACATCAGCATCAGTATTTGAAAAACAGTTGGCACTTAAAAAAAGAAAAAGAAAAGAGACCCTGCCCGCTGGAGAAACTGATCAGGAGGGCTAGCTCTGTGGTCGGCATGAAGCTGGACACTCTGGTGACAGTGGCAGAGAAAAGGACATTAAAGAAACTGCTGGACATTATGAACAATGCTGGGCATCCTCTGCACACGGCCTTAAACAACCAGAAGAGTCTGTTCAGTGACAGGTTGCTTCTCCCAAAGACAAGAACTAACAGACTTAAAAACTCCTTTGTCCCACAAGCCATCAAACTGTTTAACTCCTCTCTGGAGGGGAGAGGGAGGGGAAACAGGAGGACAAAGGAGGGGGGAACAACTAAGCTGTAGTGCCTCTTCACCTCACTGTACAATACCTTGTGCAATACTTTTGTAAATAGTCAACAGTGCAATAGACTCAATACTTGAAATGTGCAATTCACTTGTATTTTTATTTTTTATTCCTATTTATTCTATTTATCCCCTTTGTATATTTTATTTATATTTGTCTCTGTATTTATATGTGTGTGTGTGTGTGTGTGTGTGTGTGTGTGTGTGTGTGTGTGTGTGTGTGTGTGTGTGTGTGTATAACAATTCTGTAACTGTAACTTTGGTCGTTGCTGTGCTTTTTTTGGAAATCGAATTTCCCAGAGGAACCCACCCGAGGGATTAATAAAGTTCTATCTTATCTTATCTTATCTTATCTTATCTTATCTTATCTTATCTTATCTTACGCCTTCATAAGTAATAATGCAAACATGAAAAATGCTGTAGACACTGTCCGGTACGTGACCTCCGCTAGAGTCGCGTTTTAACCTCTAAAAATAAACAGCTTCTCCATAAAAGCATGCAGCTAGGTTTAAAACAAAAATTGTTGGGTCTGTGTGGACGTTGCCAACCGCACGACTGTTTTGCAGTGTTCGTCCAGCGCCGTGTGGTTAAAATCTCTCGGTTAGTCCGGATGGCAGGCGGGCGTGTGTATGATCTAATAACGTTGAAATTGATGGACATTTCATAAAATTGTTGACATCTCAATAGGGACTCGCATACACCGAAATAGTAGGTTGGTGAAGACAGGGAGGCCCAGAAGAAATTATGAACTTAAACACTGAGCTACTAAATCTGTTATGACACATTTATGGTGGGATGTAATCTTAGTTTAAGCCGGGGTAGGAGGGGGTGCTCGCTAAAGCTGAATTAATGCCTCTTCCCTTGTCAATAAGCCAAACAGACATGCCTATTCAGCTAATATTGTGCATTGCATTTACACAGATTTTTTGGAAATTTGTGATATGACTGCACTTTAATACTCAAGACTTGGCAAAAGCGAATATCTCCTGAATGTTCCAAAGTGTGTGTGGCCTCACCTAGCCGTGCCCTCTGTGTCCTTATAAGGAAATAATGACAGCTTCTATCTGAAGTCTCTTTTAAGTGGTTGTCACTAGAGCCCTTCGGTTCAGACTCAGTCATCCTAGACTACAAAAGCGAGGACCACGATGGGATCAGACTCCTGTCACGCACCAGAGTGAGAGATACAGCATTCCAACCAGGAAAAATAAAAATTAAAGTCTAGCTTTACCCTCATCATCACACCACTAAATGCATGTTGCTAAAAAAGCCCAAATCTTTGGGAGAAACAGTTTATTTAATTTGGAAACGACAGCTGTCCTACTTTTTACTATAGGACTGCAAACATGCAGGGCACAGCTGCCATACAGGCTGCAAACTTCAAAACTGTCTGCGAAAGTTTAACAATAAAATAAGCCATTACTGGCCAGTTCAAGTGACTTGCTACAGATTTTCAAACTTAACCAACACCCTCTGACTAAATTAACATCCTATAAAATACTTACTTTGTATTCAAGGCACAGCACGAAGGTTCTGTTTTGTGGAACCTCCTGATCTGCTGTGTCCTTTATGAGAGAAGCTTGCTTGTTCTCCCGCAGTCCAAAGACATGTTTAAGACAGCTGGTAATCTAAAATGGCTATAGGTGTGAATGTGACGTGAATGACGAGTGTCTCATTGTCTTGTGTTGTCCCTGTGATGAGCTGGTTACCTGTCTAGGGTGTACTTTACCTCTCACCTTCTGACAGATAGGATGGGTATCTCCACACAAAAGATTATCTTTTAAACTCTTCTAATCTGTCCATTGGTCAAGGATCTTCTCTCATGGTAACAGCTAACAGAAAACAGATGATAGAAGATAATTTAGGATGTTTACGTAGTTTGTTTCACACTGTGAGTATTAATAATACTAAGTGTTAATAAAAACTCCAGTTCCTTGATATCAAAACAGCTCTAGGACCTGTAGCTTATTTCCCCCTCGTGTTAACTGTATGTTCTGTTCATAATACATATGCTGAAATTACAGTAAGGGTTCATTATATTGATTAATATGAGCGTGAGTTGGTCGCGCATGGTCCATCTGGACATACAGCATCAGTTGTAATTCTAAAAAATGAAGTGCCAAGTAAAATAGTTTTTATATTGCTGGAAACTTTAAAGTTCCAGTGTGTAAAATCTCACCACTAGATGTCAGTAGGTTGCAGATTGCAGTCAACTGAATTCTGTTTTCTTTCCCATCCTGTTTCCCCCTAAGTGCATGAACCTAACTATAGTGACCACTATAGGACAAACAACTCTGTCCACCATTTATTTGTAGTGAGTACAACCCATCACTGAGCCGTGTACCTCAGCTGTCAATATGCTGGGTGTCCACCTGTATTTCCTCTGGAAGAGACTGTAAATATTCAAGCTCACTTCTGTCCAATGGCAGCAATAATGAGATGAGTTGTTGAAGATATCCTAAACTTTTTTGCAACTGTTACCTGCTGTTAGTTGGCGTTAGGTAACTTCTTTAAACTTTCATATGATGTGCGAAGTGGGAAGTGGGATTTTTAGGATACTTGAGCCTAACATTAGTTGGCACGATATTAGCTTATAACCAGCTGCTGTTGTTTAGCTGTCTGGAGGCGAACAGCTGACAATAATTAACTGCAACAATATCAGGAATAAATAAGCATGTTTATCCCCGACTCTGTGTGTCACAGCCCTGATTTCAGTTCAGAAGATGACGCTGAATGTGAGGAGGACGAGGATGAGATGGAAACGAGGGAGTAGAGCACTGGTGGAGGAGAAAGACATAATGAGAAAGAGATGACAATATCTTACGTGTACAAATGTTAAATGGACAGATATATTTTAAAAGAGCCATTTGTGATTTTGATTACAAAGCGTACAATATATGTAACCACATACATAAAACACGATTAGGCGCAGAGGCAATGACCATCTCGTCCGCTCTTAGTTGGAAAATGTAATCACACACTAATGAATGGATATTTCTGAGTATTTGATACCTTTTTTCTATTAAACAACCTCAAAAAATTCCTTACAGTACCTTTACTGACCTCTGTATATTGTTGCTTTGATGAGGAACATGTGAAAAATGTGTGCAATAAGCTGACATGTGGTTCATGTGTGTTCCATCAAAGAGTCAGTGGATTACAGTCTATTAATTGCCTTACTTTTCCAGCAATGTTTCTAAAAATATAATAGATTAGGCACTTATGATAAATGAGCACAACAAGTTTAGTTCATTTTGCAGGACATTGGCAAGCATTAACAGTAAATTACCATTTGCTCTTGTGCCAGTTAAACGGTAGTAATCACCAGAGGTGTGGACTCGAGTCACATGACTTGGACTCGAGTCAGACTCGAGTCATTAATTTTATGACTTTAGACTTGACTTGAAAAAATGTTCTAAGACTTGTGACTTGACTTGGACTTTTACACCAATGACTTGGGACTTGAATTGGACTTGAACCGGTTTACTTGAAAAGACTTGATATTTTACCCCAAATATAAAATTTAACATGCATATTATATAGAGATTGAAAATGTGACGTCATTCACGGGTAGAACCGCAAAGGATTCTGGGAACTCGTGGCAAGCGGTACTAGCGCACGCAGGCTTTCAATTAAAATCAGTTATACAGCGATAAAAAGAAACACAAAAATGTCAAGAAGCTGTTGTATTATTAACTGCAATAGCCGGTCGCATGACAGCCACGGGAAGCCGACGGGTAAAGAGATCGGTTGTTATCGGATTACGTCGTTGAAGAGAAATTGTTCGAGCCATGTTTCCGAAGTAACAAAGACGCGACTGGATTGCAGCCATTCAAAGACCAATTATAACGTCCCAGAACACTCCAGCTCACAGGTTAGTCTGCTCCAAGCATTTCCACAAAGGTCAGTCTGCTGTTGTAGTTAATGCGTCATTTTTCTTAACATAATTGGTGACATAGGTTACAAGTCTGGCGCTGAACAGAAATGGTCGCGTTATGCTCCTTTATTTATTGTGCATAAATAGTGAATTGTCCTGACACAATATTGCGTTTCGCTTCTGTTATTATGGTACATTGACAAAAACATATACTTTTATTCACAGGATAAAACTGTTGTTTTGTATCACT